AGATACAACACGGACATCCATCATGTACGAATAGTTGTATCTCTGCGCCGTCACCACCGCGCCTCCTTTTACTTTGCTCTATTTCCATACTGCCTTTGTTTCAGTTTGTTTTATTTGTACTTGAAGCGGTACTTCAAAAGCTGTATGAGCAACACATCCGTAAATAGGAGAGCCGTAATAGTCGAGCCTCGTTTCCCAACAGTTCTCACGACACCTTTGAGGAATTGCAAGATTTCCTCCCATTAATGTTCATTTTTAAGAATAGTCATGAATAAATATTTTTTCTCCTAGTCCTCAGAGGCGCCCGGGCCTACAAAAATGCTGGGAAATTGATGTTTTGGTTTTTTTTTTTTTTTATTTGGTGAATCCGTATTTTGTATCCGTAGCTCAATATTTGGAAGAGGAGAATGTAAAAAATTGGGACATATTTGTTTAATCATGAATGACAATTATTTCACTCACTAGCAGATATTTGATTAATAAAGGGCAAACTTGCGCTGTTACGCTTTTAGCTTTCGCCATTACGCGAAAAATTTGTCATTTTCCATCGTAAAATTAGCTGTGAGGCATCGCAAATTTTTCTCGTTAATAGTTTTCGAAAAGGGGATGATGAGCGTCATTAACTGAGGAAATCAAAATGGCTCTCGAACTTTTGTCAAATTTCAATATACCTGTACGTAAAATTTCTAAGATCGACGAATAATTCTTTTCTTTGAAATTTTCACCTTTTCGGTAACATAGTGACGCTTTATCGCACGCCTTCCTCATCCGCCATGTGTCACTCTCTCAGAAGAGGTAGTACAGTCCATTTTTAAACGTGCGCCCTTTTGATCGCTTGAGAGACCTCAAACTTTTTTTTTTCCTCTTCAAAATGAGAATTGATTAGCGCTTATCCTATTTCCGACTGTGTTGCTCACGTAGCCCTTGAAACACTACTACAAATAACACAAACGAAACTAACACAATATGGAAATAGAGGAAATTAAAAGAAGGCGCAAAGATATAACTATTCGTGCTTGATGGATGTCTGTTGTGCATCTGCAAAATTGAAGGCGTGACGGAGCGAGCTGTGAATTCGCCATGACCCACAGCTCCTCTTTATGCTACCAATAAGGTGTCGTGAGAACTGTTGGGAAACGAGGCTCGACTATTACGGCTCTCCTATTTACGGATGTGTTGCTCATACAACTTTTGAAGTACAGCTTCAAGTACAAATAAAACAAACTGAAACAAAGGCAGTATGGAAATAGAGCAAAGTAAAAGGAGGCGCGGTGGTGACGGCGCAGAGATACAACTATTCGTACATGATGGATGTCCGTGTTGTATCTGCAAAATTGAAGGCGCGATGGCGCTAGGGGTGAACTCGGAATGCTCAGGAATGCTGCCAGTCAGGTGTCGCTCAGGCTCAAATTCGAGAAATTTTTTTAATAAACTAGGTAATTACGTCTAGACTCTGTTGTTTCTAAATTTTTTCTTCTTATTTCAATTTAAGGTTTGGTTTTTAAGCGTGCCAGTAGGGCTCGCTTTTTGAAATCACTCGGATGTACCATAGTACAGCACACAGATCAACCAATGCTATTCAACGGGTCGTCCAAATACTTTTTTCCTCGCACCCGTTTCTTTGTCTTTGAACCATTACACTGTCAAGCCCTGATGGTTTTTTACCAAGAAATCTAATGAACTGCTAATTGGAAACCCTTGAGAACATTTTTCTGTCAAAACCGTATTATTCAATTTGACAGAAACCTCATAGGAGCTTTCTTACGCTCGGAGGACTCAACTCTAGAACCTTCTTTCCCGCCAAAACTCTATAGCCAATGAGCGTCTTGCACTGTAAGTGCAATCTGTGATGGGCCTCGTGACTCATTATACTATGTACTAACCATGGCCCCTGCCGAAATCCACTTAAACCACTACAGTTATCTCGCGATATAGCTTTGGGTGTCCGGTTTCGAGCAAGGCAATAAAAGACGGCGAGGCGATTAACCGATTAACCATTCACCGTGATGCCAGGATCCACCAAATTTTCTCAAAAATTGTTTTCCGTCTATTTAGCGAGTTTTTCTTTACTTTCCGTTGAAGTACAAATAAAAAGAGACCTCATTTGTACAAATCGGCCGAATAGGAGAGAAGTTACAGTTCGAAATCCAAAGAGATCAACTGAACGCGATTTCGATGCACGGCAGTTCGCCCAAATCACGGTCGTGCGCAAATGCCGCATATCAGCTTAAAATCAAGATAATTGGACGGAATCTTTAAAATTAATTTACATTCAACGTTCATGAATCAATATTTTCTCCCAAATTTAGCAAAAAGTACCAATTGATGCAAAAAACAAAGACGTGAAAATAAGAGGTATTTGTCCAACATTTCAGTTATTCGGCACGCTTTTCCAACATACTCATGTTGGATTTTTTTTTCTTGTTTTTTTTTAATGTACAAATATATATACCCCGAAATCTACGGCTCGTATGTACCGCGCGGTCCCTTACAACTCGCGTGGTACGTTTTCTAAACAAGTCTCCCGCAATTCGACCGGGCTTGAGCATCTACGGGTTAATGAAAATGTAATAAAAATGTGACTGCACCTTCAGAGTGGCCCACAGAAAATGAATTTCGGAAATTTATAGCCGTAACCCCCTAAATCGGTTACAACTTGTTCAAAAACACGGAAAGTGAAATTTGGGGTCAATCGGACAAAATTAACTCGCCGCGCAGTTGCCATTTATCCCCGAAAAAATAGCGAATTTTTACTGTTTTTCAGTAATTTTTCGCTCCCAAAAAATAAAGTCAAAGGGGTCTGCAAATTAAACAGAGGGCAAAATTATTTCATAAACTACACCCTAGTAAAGTTTTGGTCCCCCTCCATGCTTTTGACCCGACGCGCGGTTGCCATTTTCACGCATGAAAATACCGAATTTTTTACCAAAAAAACTCAGGAGCCATCGAAAAAGTGCGTTAAAACACGGTGATTATATCATGAGTATCTTTTTTGAAAATTTGGACCCTGTAAAATGTTTTAGTCGGCGTGAAGTTACCACTTGGCAAACAGTGGTTGACGGTAACAGTCAAGTTTCACACGTTAGTGCGCCTTCGATAAATTACATTTGATACGGTGCAATACTTTCGTGGTGGAATAGTTGCATTGGCGCCTACAAAAATAACAGGGATACTGCATGCATTGCGCAATGAGTGAAGTATCCCTGTTAGGTTTGTAGGTGCCAATGCAACTATTCCACCACGAAAGTATTGCACAGTATCCAATGTAATTAAAGGCGCATTAACGTATGAAAATTGACTATTACCGTCAACCACTGTTTGCCAAGTGGTAACTTCACGCCGACTAAAACATTTTACAGGGTCCAAATTTTCAAAAAAGATACTCATGATATAATCACCGTGTTTTAGCGCACTTTTTCGATGGCTCCTGAGTTTTTTTTTAGGTCTAGAGAGATGGTATTAAAATAAGTCGAGATTCACGATTTTGCTCAGAGAAATGGCAACGTCGCAGCGTGTCAAAATTATAGGAAGGGGAGCAATGGGAGCATCTAAGATACTAATTTCACACTCTGATTACAATTTAGGCATCTGTAAAGTTAATTTATCGAGAGGGAAAGATCATCAAAAACAGTCAAAAATTCGGTATTTTCATGCGTGAAAATGGCAACCGCGCGTCGGGTTAATTTTGTCCGATTGTCCCCAAATTTCATTTTCCGTGTTTTTGAACATGCCGTAACCGATTTAGAGGGGTTACGGCTATTAATTTCCGAAATTCATTTTTTGTGGGCCATCCTAATGAATCCCTAACTCTTAATTTTTACTTTTCCTACTAAACATATTGTCTTACCTTCAAAATTTCATCTCGTACTTTCTAGGTCGGATGTTTCATTTTTCGAAGAGGTTAAAACGATCTTTTCGGCGTACACATTTCTCGCGTTCATGAACCCGAAAACCCGAAAATGATGCATCATTTTCCGACTTTTATTTTTTAAAAGCAGTTTTTTCTCACTTCACAAGTCTCCTGGTTACTTGAAAATGTTAATTCTGCAATTTTTGCTCTGTGTGATTTACTTAATAAACTTCGAACCTGAAAATGTCGTAAAATTTTGCTGATTTTCCAGACATTTCTGGACCACCTTTCACGTCGGGGTGCACCCGAGGGGGGGGGGGGGATCACCCTACGCCACTTTAGCCGGCTAAGGGTCTACGCCCTGAGATGTGAGCCAGTCCGACCCTATCCATATCCTTTTTGTCCTCTATGTTTGTCGCTTTGTTTATCAGTCGCAACAATCAGCCTACTGACATCATTAATCGCGGTGTCAAATTTTATCTTGGGTGCATCCGTCGAGTGAATCGGGCTCGCTATTCGGGAATTATCACCAGAACTCTGGCGATACTCCCATAGCACGGTAAATGCTATCATCGAGTCTGATTACTCGAGCAGAGTGTCAAATTATGGTAAAATCTATCATATTTTTTTCAATGTACGTAAAACGACCGATTCGGAGTGAAGCAGTCTGCCCGACTCGGAATCGATTTTTGTGATAGAATCGATGGAGAATTTGCGCGTAATTTTTTTATTGCTTCATCTGAGAGCGCTTAAAAAACCATATTTCGTAGTATTTCCTATAATTTTTTTCTGTAATAGTCTAAAAATTGATTTAAAAGTGAGAAAATGCACCACCTTGTGACGTCATCTGGCGGCATTTCCCATTAAATCGCATGTATCGTAGCAAATCAGATATTTGCATTACATCTCCTTCAATAATTGCTCAGTTATTGAACCAATGGGGGTACCCTCGTGTTTAGTTCACTCAGCAGTTCCCATTTCAACGTGGAATTCTTCAAATTCCAGACACCTGCAAATTCTCCATTGAAGACAAAACAGCGCTGCCGCTTTGCGTTACTCGTCACCACGAGCGCAAAATCGTTTTTTTTTTTTTTTTTTTTTTTTTCTTACGCCGATAATTTCTAACGGGACTCCTTTGATTTTTTTCCAGGCAAAATGGATCTGGAGATCGTGCTCCCGATTTTCCTGGCAGCGACGGTGATCGCTCTGAGTCCGGAATCGCCTGCGGTGGACGCGGGTCGAGACATTTCCCAAGTGAACACGGAAAATCTTGAAAAGTACTTCGAAGTCGTGAAACCGGACGAACCGCAGAGATCCGAGGGCGACGGATACACCTTCCGACCGTTACCGTTCAACATCCCCTGGCCGGGACCCATCATCCCCAAACCTGCCATCTTCCCCAACTGGGGTATCAAGCCCACCAAGACCGTCTACGTTGAGGTTAGTAGCCCAAAGATTTTCAAGTTTAATTTTACACTGAAAAATAAAGGATGCTCACTTAGCGTCCTGGATGTAAAAAAAAGTGCGCGACAACCCACAAAACACTGAGTTGACCGTTACACTGGCGTGCTAAGGAAGAACGGCGTATGAACATTCAAGGGTGACCAAATTTCCCTTAATAAAACTTGTATTTTTGACAGCATTCATGCATTTTCTTCCTTGAAAGCTTCAGATATTTTAGATTAAATTGAGTACAAAATTGTCTGAGAATTGTTGAAAATAATTTCACAATTTTCCCAGTAATTTCGGCTTTTATCGGAGGAAACTTGGCAACGTCTGAAGGCGCATACCGCGTTCTCTCTTAGCACGGCAGAGTTTTCCAGGTTTTCTAGTTTTCCATAGGTTCTCCTCCAACAGATTCTCAATTGGCAGACGAGCAGTTGATGCTCAAATTTTGTGAAATGGAAAGTCTGCAAAATCCAGAATTTTATATCAGCCAGAACTTAAATTTCGATAAGTCTCACAATTCAATTTCAGGGGCTTGGAGAACAAGATGCTGAATCGCAGTTGTTGCTGTTATGATAGATGCGTGTTTGAAGTTTCGAAAATACTAGGATTCTCATTAGGGACAGAAAGTTCAAACTGACTTTTTGATGCTTACAAATTGGAATTCAGGAGCGAAATTTTTTTTTGCAGAATATGCATTAAGTCAGTTTTACTTGAAATCATTAATGCCTCCATTTTTCCAAAAAACTGCACTGATGCGTTTTGTCCATCAAGCCCCTCAATTGTGACTTTAAACCGTAATAATTTTGATATCAATGTCTAAAGTGCGAAACCACAAAGATCCCTCGCCCTCCCTCTCCACCCTCAAAGTACTTTTTTTTCTAAGCTCGTCTTTCAAATTTCAGGTTACGCAAAGGGAGACAAAGCATCCGATTTGCTGGACATCTTATGGTGCTAAGCCGGCCTGCATCCCCTACTTCAACTACAAGTTAGACGATGAACTCGCCAACTTCGAGCCGCTCAACCCGACCGCCGTTGGCCCCAACCCTGCTGGACACACGCCACTTCCCGTCTTAGAGTGAGTAACCTTCATTTATTTCAAAGTTCTGCCGTCTTAGGGTAAAACGGCTACAAAAATTCCAGAGTTGCCGAATTCCTCCAGTTAAAATATATTTGTATATCGATGGTGAAACTACCAAACCACGTATCTCGGTTTGCGACGTCGCAGACTTCCTGTCATGCTTTATTTTTTAAATGAAAAACTACGTAATGTCCAGTCTTGAGAATTTCTGTGATTTTTCCTCTTCGTGCGAAGAAAATTCTGTGAAAATTTCAAGGAATGATATTGATTTGGTCTATTTCAAAAAAAGAAAATGTGAGCGTAGATTTTTTAACACCGCAAACGAGATACGTGGTTTGGTAATTTCACCGTCGATATTTATCTTATCCTGAATTTTTCAGATACTTTAGATAGAAATGCGGATAACATTGTCTGAAATATTTGAGGAAAATTGTTTAATTTACTAGTGAATTTGGTTTATTTTTGAAGGAGACATGGCAACGTCTGAAAGCTCATACGGCGTTTTTCTTTAGCATGGCAGAACACCGCGCAGCAATACGAGCAGGGACCGAAAATCTCTCGAACAGATCTCCATTATCAAAGCTATGAAGTTCTTGCATCTGTGAGGAATTTGTCATTTATGTGTTTTTTTTTTGTGTAAAATTTTGCAATAAATACTGTGGTGCCACTGGTTTTCTGTAGAATCAACTACTAAGCTCAAAAAAGCTCTAGAGTTCAGGTCGTAATTGAGGGTATGTCCCACGCTACGTTGAGAGTCTACCTCTATATCTAGTCAAACCCTTGACACACAGATAGCAGGGATCAGATGTATCACACAGGGCCAATACACAGGGTTTAAGTATAACTCTGACGGTGCGTTTGCTCCCTATCCTTGCACGGGAGACTTTGGGCAGATAAAAAGGTGGACTCTCAATGTAGCGCAGTCTCCCTCCATAACGGCCTGGACTTTCAAAGCTTCTTTTGAGCGTAGGAGTCAATTTCAGAAAAAACGAATGGCACCATCGTGTTTCTCGCAAAATTCTACGCAATAGGGTCCTTTAAAGCATAACTCCGTGACACATGTAAGAACTACATTGGGCAGCTGAAATTAACTTTACAATGGTGAAGCACAATTTGCGCCATCAAACTTTCGTCCGTTCGTGGGGTGGAGCGTGGACGCGGAAAAAGTCGGGAAACTAGATCGTCTAAATCTATCTAAATCTAATCGAATAAATCCACCTAATTTTCCTAAAAGCCTTAAAGTATTTAATGGTGGAGTTTTTTAGTCACCGTGAGTAAAAAGTTCAGCTTAAAGCTGATATCACATTGCAGAGGGTAAATGCTTATACACAAGCACAATTTTCCCTCAAAGGGATACGCTGTTTGGAGCAACACTAGTTACGTCCATTCAGGAAGGCAACTGCACACGCGTTTCGGCCTTGGATCGTAAAACAATGATGGAATTTTTTAGCCATCGTGCGTAAAAAGTTCAGCTTAAAACTCGAACTTTTTACGCACGATGGCTAAAAAACTCCACGATTGTCTTACGACCCGTGCATTTACTGCAGTCAGTTTGGGATTTTTAAAATTGCCTAGACAAATTAGCATTTAATAAAACAAGTGTCAAGTATCCCGAGTAAAAAATGGCGTGACATACAGTTTGTTTTTACGTCAATAGATGCATCCAATCTTACGTGACAGGAATGCGATGTATATCGATTTATTTTAATTTTTGTCATTCTTACTGTTGGTAACCAATCCCATATGATCCCTTATGGTGTCGCTATCAATGATAGTGTCTGAAAATACGGTCTATTTATGTTACACCCCGTTGGCGAAATTGCCCAGTCCGTGAACCACAGGGCAGCGAGTCGGTGGGCTGCCCAGTCAAATGTCTGAAAATGACGCCAATGGTCCGGTCCATAATTTTAAATGCAACCCATACATTCTTCCTCATCTCTTGTTAGCCTTTTCATGGTGTAGTGGTTGTAGCGCTGGATGTATAGTCGGGAAGTCCTGGGCTCGATTCACGGCCAGGGCACCCGAGTTTGCTGGTCTCAAATAATGGTAGTCTGGGGCTGGTTAGTGAGGGGGGACTGGGGGAAGGGTCTGTGACTGAAAGAGAGCTCGATTGCCCCCAAGGTGTTACTTGAAATGTATACATAAAAAAAGAAGAAATAAAGAGACGCTAATGTACGGATTTCCTCCACTAACCGATTTCTGATTAATTATTCACAACATTTTGAACGCAGCTTTCTAAGGCCGATAATTAAATCGTTCTTCCTTATAAAGACTCAAGCGCCAGAAATGAGAACAAGAGAAAAAACGATTTGAAACCATAATAATTTTAATCGTTCCAAGTTATAGATTATATTATGGTATACTAAATGAGTTCATTGCTTCAATTTACGAGTGCTCAGGAATTTAGAACGGTTCGATTGAAGCGATTTTTGCTGTTTTTCTTGTATCATAATTTCTAGCGCTTATAGGTCTTTTTTAAAAATACCGATTCAAATCGGTGATAATCTCGACCTATACGAATATTGTACTGATTGTGAGATGTTTGTAGCGCCTTGATGCAAATATTCGTGTTCAACGGATGTGCGTGTTGCGTGCGCAAAATTGAAGGCACTTCCACCTTTCTCACCTCTCAGGAATGCGAGGGAGTTGTCGTTAGTTCAGCACCCGAATAAAAGAGAATCTATGCGAATATAATATTGCCATCACAATTATTTTCGCACAAAATAGTGCCGCCCTCTGATTGGTTGAGAACTTTCACATGCATGGTAGAATTTTTGGTGGCTTACCGGCCATAGATAATATCAATTCCCATTTACGAGCCGACCACAAAGGTCGTTTACTTTTGTAATTTTGCTTTATATTGTCATATACCAAGTTCTCACAAGAATATGAGTTTCTCAATTAAAATGACGTCATAGTTTATTTGCGAAGCCCACCATCGGATCATTACGAAACATCAGGCTTTTATGGACTTTTTGTTTTCCATTTTGACATAATTTCGGAAGACAATATGAATATTTTTGCCAAGAGTAATCCTTTTCCTATTAGTTTTATTCATCCCTTCCTCAATAAATCAAATTTCTATTGGTCGGTTTTGTTCACGTGGATATCGGGGTTTTAAAAAAAAACTCGTGAACTGTTATCAAAAACTCCTGAGGTAAATTAAGTTATTAATTAATTAATTAATAAATTAATGATGTTAACTTGATTTGCTTTACCTTTAAATTTTCATGTATTATATTTGTTTATATTTTAATTTTTTCAAACATCACGGAACATCTCGAGAAGTATTCGTCAGAAATCGGTTAGTGGGGAACATTCGTCGGTTAGCGCATGGATTTCAGCTCAATTTTAGCTGAATTTTAGACTTTGGACCGGCCAGCTTGCGGACTGGGCAACGAGTATGGCCAGATCACAGACACTCGCCAATGGGATGTAACACGCACAAACGGATGATCTCTATGTGCCTCCACGAGAGATTGACTTGGAGACTTTAACGCTCGGGTAGAAAGATGGGCCCATGAAATCTCATAAGTTCACCGCAACGTAGATGCAACATTTTGGCCATTCCATTTATTTGCGCACAAATAATGGATCTTTGCATGTTTTCTTGAGAGATTTACTCGGAGACTTTAACGCTTGTGCAGAAAGATAGACACCTGGAATCCTGGAGTTAGGATCAAGGCAGGAAGAACGCCGCGCGGAACTCCGTCCTAGACCGTACTGGAGTCTTTTTTTTTTCTGATAAAATGCACACTTTAGTAATGTCCGAACACGTGTGCGTTTTATTTGTGTGATATCAGTTATGAGACTTGTTACAGAATCTAAAGAAAAAATAGTAACGTATTTAGCGTAGTAAAGAATTTTGTCAAAGAAATAATCGAACAAAGTAACGGCGTTTTCGCTGTGCACGAAAACTTGGAAATCGACGGATTTTTTTCGTATGTAACATTGGTCTATTATAAGGTGTTAAGGTAATTCGACGGTTGCCATTTTTCGTGTCAGAGCAACGTGCGATATATCGCATCGATTCGTTCCATAATTTCAGCTACTTGTCATTTTTCCGAATTTTGAGATCGCATATGTTACCATGAGACTGAAGAATTCATGTACCAAATTTGATAAAAAAATTCAACACAATGAAGGAAGGATTTTTCCTCTAACAAAAACCTTGCCTTTATTACGTTGAATTTTTCTGTCAAATTCGGCACTTGAATTTATTAGTCTTATGACAACAGAAGTGCGATCTCAAAATTCAAAAAAATGACAAGTAGCTGAAAGTATGTAACGAATTGATGGCAACCGTCGAATCACCTTAATGTATGTAATGAGACTTCTTTAAACATGTTTTAAGAATGTTATTTTAAGACTTTACCAGCACTATGAACACATGACTTGATGCAAATTGAAATGTCGTCAAAAACCAATTATAAATGACTTACTTTTATTTTTTACACGATGACCATTTCGGGCGGGCCGCCCATCTTCAGGTGACTGAAACAGGTCTTGAAGATAGGCGGCCCGTCCGAAATGGACATCGTGTAAAAAATAAAAGTAAGTAATTTATAATCGGTTTTCGAAAAAATTCAATTTGCATCAAGTCATGCGATTTGATGTCTCGGCTAGAAATAAAGATTCCGCATTAAAAATTGAAAATTTATGTCTTGCATTTTCCTAAATATTCTTCTTTTTTTCTCTTAGGCCGAACCGTTTCAAGCAGTTAAGCGGCCTGGAACCCGGGCTGAGCACGGATATGGGTCTCGCCCGAGAACACCAACTCGACACCAGCGAGGAGTCCGCAGAACGCGACGCCCGCTACGTCAAATTCGGCACCCCGGCTATCACCCCCGATCTTCCTGATGGCAAGCTCTACATCGAGAAGCAACCCGGAACACCCGTCGAGTCGGACCACGAATCCAAGCTCATCGGCATCTTCTCCGGCAACCTCAAGAAACCCGTCACGAAGACCATTTCTATCACCAAGGTCGAGACCTACGTCGACAACCGCGTCACCGCCACCCTCGTCGCCAAGAATTGCGTCCCCATCTCCACCAAAATCCCCTACTGCCACGGCAAACCAGTTCTAAACCAAGACGCAAAACCCGCAACTCCAGAGGCGAAACCCACCCCTAAACCTGCACCGGCGCCCACACCCTCTCCCAAGCCGGCAAACGCCATCAAACCAGGAGTGCCCCTCCCCGTCGTGGCCGACGGCAGCGCCAGCACCGGCTTCCACCCCTACGTCCCGAAGGACCCCGAGGACGAGGCATGGCGCGGCTTCGTCACCGATGAATTCCAGTCCAAACAGCAGGAGATCTACGACAACCTCGCCGACAAGCTCCGCGAAAGCAGTGGTCATTTGAACCCACTCCAATCTCTCCTCATCCATCAGGAAGGTTTCGCCGAAGGCAGCATCCACTACCTCATGCAGCTGGCCGCGCAGCAGGCGGCTTACCACGCGTACCTGGCGCACAGATTCCACGAGTTCGCGGCGAACAAGTCGCTCGGACATTCGGCGAACGCGCTCGCCGTGCAGCAAGCGGCGCTCGAGGCGGCGCACCACCACGCGGAGGCCGAACAGGCCGCTCAACAGAACGTAGCTCACATCCTGGACAAGTACGGCGACAAGCACGGACTCAAGACCCGGCTTCAGCAGTTCTGGAACTGGATCAAACCTGGACCGATCAAGCCCATCATCGAGCAATCTCAGGAGAGTTACCCCGACTCTGAACATGCTGGCTCGGAGGAAGGACCTGTGGTTCACGCTCAGTTCATTGAACCCACAACAAAACCCACCACTTCCAAACCCACCACAACTAAACCTAGCACGCCTAAGCCTAAGACACCTAAACCTAGTGTAAGTTCTGGAGAGCATTCAGATAATAGCTCAGAATCCGAGGAGGTATCTGAGGCACATACGAGCCACAAACACCATGCTTTACACTCACACGTGAACTCTGTATCCAGTGACCACAAGGGCACAAAACACCCATCCAACACGAAGTACTCGCACGGTTTTTCAGCGCAAAAACCAGTCCACTATCACACTGAACGGCCGTCCGTCGCTCATGATGACTCAGAAGAAGATGAGGACAACGCATTGGACGCCCCTGTGAAGAAACCGAACCATGGATCAAAGTATGGAAATAAATATGGTAAACCAAGCGTGGGAGAACACCATTATGAACACCATGTAGAAGATTCTCCGATCAAAAAACCCTCTTACGTATCTAAATATCCGGACAAGTATAATCAGCATCACAGTAAACCGGCTGAAGACAGCAATGATTCTGCCGAGCATGATTCAGAAGAAACTCACTCTGAACACGGAGAAGAAGCTCATGTTGGGAAACCATCGCACGGATCTAAATATCCAGACAAGCACGCACATGATCACGGACCAACTGCAGATCATGAGGATTCTCAATACGTCCAAGAGGATAATCGACCTCTACACCATGCGCACGGCTCTCCCGTGAAAAAGCCCAGCTCTAAGTATCCGAACAAGTATCATGAGTATCACAGTAAACCAGCCGTAGCACATGCAGGTCATGAACACCACGAAGAGGAGTCTCCTGTGAAAAAACCTGAGCACGGGTCCAAATATCCAGATAAGCATCACGGAAAACCATCCGTGCCACATGCAGATTCTGTACACTTTCCTGAGGATGACCATTCTGAACATCATGTAGACCACTCTCCTGTGAAGAAACCCAGCCATGGTTCGAAGCACCCGGAAAGCTATGTGCAACACCACGAAGAAACTGCGGTGCATGGAAAACCAGAACACGGCGCGGTAGGCTCCCACTCTGAACATCACTCGGAGAATCACGGTTCTAAGCACCCTGTGAAACATGAGGAACACGAAGACATCCACCACGCCTCAGGGAATGTTCATGAACATGAATCTGAACATCATGGAGAATCGGAGCCTCATCAGAGCACTGAGAATCATGTTAAGCCACCTGTAAAGCATGAGCACTCTGCTCAGCACCCTGATCATCATGAGCATTCAGGCGATCATTTAGGACATGATGAGACTAGTCATACTGAGCCACCAATTCCACCACATCACTCTATCAGTGGTAACACACATTCTACTGAGCATCATTCTGAAGAAAATCATTCAGGTGCATCGTCTGGGCAAGACCTTGAGGTGCCACTAATTCTTGGGTCTCATGATGAATCCTCTGACCATCACGAGCATGAAGAGCACCACAAGCACCCGGAACACCCCGCTAAACCAGTTGAACATGAGCACCCAACTGAGCATTCAGAACATCATGCGCATCCTGAACATGAGCACTCAGAACACCATGAAAAGCCTTCAGTGAAACCTGAACATCACAAAGAATCAGAAAATCATGGAAAACCGGTCGTCAAGCCTGATCATGCTGATCACGCGACCGAGCATCATGAGCCTTCGAAACATCAGGCTAAACCTGTTCATTCGTACGTTCTGTCCCATCACGAGCATCCTGAACATCATGAAAAGCCAGCAGCTGAGTCGGTTCATCTACCAGAAAAGCATGAACATTCTGAGTATCACGATAAGCCTGGACACCACGACAAGCCTGATGCGCTGCACCATGAGAATTCTCACCCAGAACATTCAGAGACCTCAGCTACTAAACCAGAGCACTCTGAGCATTCTGCAGCGCCTTCTCATCATGAGAACTCAGAACATCACGAACATTCATCGGCAGCTCATGATCACTCCTCCGAGAGCTCAGAGCATCATAAACCCGATAAACATGAAGAAAAACCTACGCATGGCACTCCACCATCCCATCACGAGCACCCTGAACATTCCGAAGAACACAAAGAGCCGTTGGTGAAGCCTGAGGATTCCACGCCTTACCCTGAGCCTAACCCAGAACATCCAGCATTGGCGTCGGAGCATCAACACTCTGAGCATCATGAGCATCATGAGCATCATCAGAAACCTGCTGTTAAACCAGAGCACGAAGAACACAACGTTGATCATCACGAAAAACCCGTCAGTCATCCTGGGCACGTAGATGAACATCACAAGAAACCCACAGCCAAACCGGAGCACGTAGAACACCACGATGAGCACCATGAACACCACGTTGATCATCACGAAAAACCCGTCAGTCATCCTGGGCACGTAGATGAACATCACGGTGAACATCACAAGAAACCCACAGCCAAACCGGAGCACGTGGAACACCACGATGAGCATCATGAACACCACGTTGATCATAATGAAAAACCCGCCGGTCATCCAGAGCACGTAGATGAACATCACAGTGAACATCACAAAAAACCCACAGCCAAACCGGAGCACGTGGAACACCACGATGAGCATCATGAACACCACGTTGATCATCACGAAAAACCCGCCAGTCATCCAGAGCACGTAGATGAACCTCACCAAAAACCCACAGCCAAACCGGAGCACGTAGAACACCACGATGAGCATCACGAAAAACCTGCAGTCAATCCAGAGCACGTAGATGAACATCACAGTGAACACCACAAAAAACCCTCAGCCAAACCGGAGCACGTAGAACACCACGATGACCACCATGGAAAACCTGCAGTCAAACCGGAGCATGTAGAACATCACGATGAGCATCACGAAAAGCCCACTGTGAAACCAGGACACTCAGAACACCACGATGAACATCCTGAAAAACCATACCACCACGAAGAAAAACCTGAGGTACACACTGCGTCCGTTACTCAGCATTCTGCACATCACGCGGATCAACATGAACACTCGGTTCACAATGAAAAACCATCAGAAGCTCATGAACATGTAAATCATGACGTGCACGATAGTCCCACGCAGAAACCTGAACACCATGCTGAACACCATGGTGAACATCCTGCGGAACATGATCAAGTAGAGCACCACGAGGAGCATCACTCGGAGTCTCCTCACAAAGAAAACGCAACTCACCATAAAGAGCCCTCCGAATATCATGAGCATCATTCGGAGCATCATGAGTCCCAGTCGGAGTCCTCCGGGTCGCATTCAGAGCCAGAGCTCATCGAAGAGGATGAGCATGATAGTAATTTAGTCAAAGTTAAGCCGAGTGAGAAGGTTAATGAAAAACCGGCGGCCCCAAAGTTACTTGAACCAAAGGCACGGAGTAGATGGGTAGATTCTCTTTCCAGTTTGTTTGCGGAATTTCAGTGAAGAGCCTGCCCGTGAAAGAGCAATCTGAAGTTAAATACAAGTGCTTCTGAATGTTTTATTTCAATGGGTGGATGAGTTCGAACTTTCCAATTTATCGATTTGAACCTTTTTTAAAAGCATTTGTATTATTCGTTAAAGATTGTTTTCCAGTGATATGTCTGAAGACAATGGCACCTCTGTGCTCTTAGCTTTTTTATGCTTCACTTTTTCTCGCTAAAAAAAAGAGGAAGAAGCAGCCTTTAAGCGCTAACATTTCGATTTTCTAACATTAAGTTATAAGGATGCTTTTTTTGTCCCAAATAACGAGGATAAAATCATAATTTTGCACTTAATATGAAAGGATAAGACTTTTTTCGTCCTTTCAAATAAGTGGATCAAAAAGTGGATCCGCAATTTGTCTCGCAAAGAGCTTCTTTAAATACTCATAATTTTGAGAATCTCATATGATTATTGATCTACCGCTCAACTTTGTAATTAATAATTGGGCCAAAAGTTTGTAATTTATACCTGTCTGTTTTGAAGTTGTATAGTGTTGTAGAAACAATTTTTGTGATTAATATAGTGTACATTTGATAATGTGATTTAAGTGTTTTCCTCATTTTTTCCTCAATTTAAGAGCCGTTATGCGCAGGAGACTTGGATCGCAGTTAGAAAAAGGAACCAACGCATATACAGTGTTTTTAAAATCGTGCAAGTTTTTCTTTTCTTTTAAAAATACTTAAAAGATATGCAGTGTTATGATTTACAAAATTTTGTACCTTTGAAATCAACAATTTTTTGGTAGGAAGCAAAAGCTGTTTGCTATTCCGGGAGCTTTCTTAGATAATTAAGAGGAAGCAAAATTTTTACAACACTGTAATCGCGCTGGTTCCTTTTTGCTAAATGCCATGCACTTGTGGTTCAGTTCAAGAAAAATTTGCAAGCGGCGTGCATGCTAACTTGATGCATTGCAATAGTCGTATCGACACGGTAATGATTACAATTGTGAAAAACTTCAAAAGCACAAACTCTGATTGGAGCGCCTTCAACTTTTGGTGATGCTCTCCGCTTTGTCGTGAAGTTAGTTTAGTTGCTTGACCGAACCAAACCCAACGATGGTCACTAATTTCACTGCCCGTACTTGCTAGTATGCCAGCTAGTGGCATGCGTTCAAGATGATAGAAGCGTCTGCTTGAAATTCAATACTTAATCAAAATCGATTCAACAAAAATAGATGGCAATTTTCCGGCATGGCGATTGCTATTGGCCTGATACAGATATACATCTTTAGCAAAACCTCTTTTGAATGCGTGAGGGAGGAATGGGATATTTTTGAGAGCAGTACCGGGAAAAATATATGTTTGGAAATGTATTAAGTATGAGGCAAGAGGAGGCTCCAAAAAAAGCACATTCGTTTTTGACACAGTAAATGCTTTAAAATCATTTTTTTCGTAGTTTGTAGTTTAGAATAAATTTTCTAAGGAAAAAACTTGCATAGGTCACTAAAATTATTATTTATTGAGAACAATTGCTTGAAACATCGTACACAAATAATGAATCTTCAGTATCAATTTTACCACTGCATGTCTTTTGAGTAAATTGCTGAATTGATTAGTTTGGACAACGAGACATCGTGAGGAATCTGAGTGTCTAGTTTTTTTGTAAAGGAACTCCCATAATGTAATTACTTGCATCATATTTTTCTGACTAAATTTTATGCCAACCAAAAAAACGGCCCGACATCTAAGTTTTTCAAGAGACCAATTCACAGAACTTCCATTTCTAAAGTAAAAAAAAATTGTTGGGTTTTGAGTAGTCAGTAACCGCTACTAAAGAAAGAAATTCCGTAAGGATACGATGTAATTTAAAAGTAAAAACGACATTCTAAGGACCATGAAATAAATTCCTCAAGACAGTCAAAAATTGCTAATTATGGCTTAAAATTTTTCGGACACACGGAGGAAAAAGTACCTCGGTTTCCGAGGGAACAACAAAGTTTTCGGTCAGAAACCGAACTTCGGTCGAGGGAACCACAGTTTATTCAACCATACTTAGGCTCGTAATTTTAACCGACGACTGATGGTTCGATTTTTCCGCCGCAACACTTATCCATGTGGATCCATGGCATGTTCTTCATCCATTGATTTTTTTTGTGAATTCGTGATTATGTCGAAAAGTGTCACATAAAACGGCTATTCGTCAATCTACGATTAGTGGAAAAATGTGTTGTTACCTTTATCTGGACCGAAAACTTTGCTGTTCCGATTAAGCTGAAGTTCGAATATGATGTTTTTTTCTCCATGTAGAGGGATTTTCCTTAAAAATACGATTTTTACAGCCATACACGAACTGGATTGGATTTTGCAGAAAGAAACCAAGAGCATTTCAACGTTGCTCAGATGGTATAAATTCTTTTGTCCTGGGAAAAAAAACCTGATCATTTTTAAATATTTTCTATTTTACACGCTAAAACCTGTAAATTTTAGACATAAATGTCCACATAAATATCATTTTTTTGCATGATTACGGTAGTTTTATGGCAAGGGTGAAGTTTAAATCCCAGCAACATTACAATGCTCCTGGCTCCTCTTTGCAAAATGCAATCCAACTATTCATTGTCATTATAAACAACGCATTTACTTTTGGAAACCCTCAGTTTCTGTCACATTGGAAGAGCTTCCAAGTTCCGTGGATACAGACTTAAGATAAAGGGGACCCTCAATGGTAAACAGCGCCCCTGGCGGCAGCAACAGAGGGCGGTGGTGTGGGCGTGCCGGAGGCGGGAGCCTTGGCCAGCTCGGCCTCGTCCTTGTCGAAGGGCCCGTCCTCGCAGGGCCCCAGGTCGAACGGGAGTCGGGAGGGTTGGCAACCCTTGACGGAGAACGTGACGATGGTGTTGGGGTCCGTGACGGTCTTGGTGAAGGGTCGAACCACCGTGTTCGTCACGGTCGCGTCCTGGAGACCGAAGAACCAGCCGAGACCGCCACCCTGGTTTTGGTTCTGGTTCTGGTTCGGCGGGGGATGCACTTGTTGGTTCTGGTGCTGGTTCTGGTCGGCCATGGGTCCCATGTGTGGGTCCGGTGGGCCCCCGAACATCATACCGTTGCTCGGCTCCAATCGCATTGGCTGGGTCTGCATCTGCATCTCTGGGGCTCGCGTCGCATAAATCCTGCCGAAAATGAAGGAAGTTGTGTTTTATTATTGAGTTATTGCAATGGAGAGAGGAATTAGAGTCATTGATTTTTACAGGCATTGTAGCAAAAAGTGGGGGCTAGCGAAAAATAACTACATAGTCAGTACTCTGCAATGCTAAGGAAGAACGTCGCGTAAATATTCGAGAGTTGCCACATTTCCTTCGGTAAAATGTTCGTTTCCGAGGAAAGTTATGAATATTTTCCCTTGAAATTTTCAGGTCTTTTCGGTGCAATTGCGATCAAAATTGTCCGAAAAATTGGAAGAAAAATATTCATAAGTTGACTAGGAAATTCGTGTTTTATCAGGGGAAATTTGCCTCAAAAATCAACTGAGTATTCTGTGGGAACAGGTTTTTATGATACATTTTTGATTCTTATATGAGTACAAAATGGCAATACAAAGTGAGATTGTTAGAAAATTTCTCATTTTAGTTTCTCCTACTCGAATCCTAAAATTTTTGTTTGAAGTCATGTTCTACCTACTGTTTTGAACTAAAAGATACATCGAGTCACTATCGAATACGATCCATGTAATCCGAGTAACCAATACCTCGATTTTCCATATTTTTTTTTTTTTTAAATGAAGCACTGGAAAAAAAACACATTGGATCTACAGTCCAGACTCTTAAAAAAATCGACAAGAAAGAGTACTCTTGATTCAATCAGAATCTAGCTTACATCCAGAACCAAGCCTCTTAAGTTAAGCGGATTTCGTTTTGATTCAAGCGAAAACCCAATTGAATCAAGAGTATTTTTGTCAATGTTTTCAAGAGTCTGGACTCTAGATCCAATGTGTTTTTTTTTCCAGTGAGCCGCACCGAGCTGCTCAATTGTAACGGTAATTTTCATGACAGAGTCAGTGAAAACTCCCGGAGGAGTGACGTAAGATGGTTGAATGTCAAACTCAATCTCGGGGACAAAACGGTAACGCCCAATTCTTGGACGCACTTGCGTAGCGGCTCATTACGCATGCACGACCGACTAATTACCCGCAACGCACCGCCACCGCGCCGACGCACAGAGACAAAACGCTCTGCATGTGGGCAAAAATAAAAAATTCACAACTGGACATCTGAATATTTCTTTTTGGAGTTTGTCACCTTAAAGATATCTCTAGCTCACGATGATGGTTCATTTGCAAATTTTTCGCTCAAAACTAATTTGGGTAGAGAGTGGGCGAGAAATGGATCGAGAATCACTGGTCCACAAGAAATACGCGTGAAAAAGACGTCAACTTCAAATGAAGATCCCTCGCTTGAAACGCAAAATGCTCTGAGTGCTTGAAATTTTCTTAATCCTCATAAATCCAATTTGAGTTCCGGCAAATAGATTTTGCGACTATCAGAGATACTTGAAGTTAAAGTTTGGGTGTTTCAAGTTGCTTTTACATTGTTAGCATATAATCCAGGCAATCTAGCATGAAATTGGACCTTAGGTTGAAAAAAATCGGAAGCAAATTTCAACTAAAGGGCGTTAATGTATCCCAGAAGGAGTTTGGTTTCTGAAAATTCCCCAACTTTTCGACGTGCGGAAAGCCCTGAAAAATCAGGGAACTTCCTGAAAATTCGCCCAAAAAAAAGACGATCTCAATACGATAATTTGATGCCGAGTTATGTGCGTTTGAAAATTGGAGAATTTTCAGGGAGTTCCTTGATTTTTCATGACTTTCCGCACGTCGAAAAGTTGGGGAATTTTCAGAAACTATATTCCTACTGGGGCCGGTACATTAACGCCCTTTAGTTGGAATTTGCTTTCGATTTTTTTCCACCTAAGAAGCTTGATTGCCTGGACTAATAGGACTAATTCGAGGTTGCCAACTTCAAATGAACTTTTCTCAAAAAATACGCAAAAAATCCTGAGATATAACATTTGCTTATTCCGCGAGTGTTTCACATTGATAGTGCCGAAGGGTTTTCCTATGTCGGTGCCACTATCTTCATTCTTTAAAGTTAAGTGTATTTTACCGATTTTTGTCCGCATCGTCCATAAGGATGCCGCACTGTGCGACGGGCCGGCCGGATAAAGTACGAGACACTCCTCGCTTCCATAGCGTCCGTGCTTTTTTTGGAAAAGTGGTAACCTTGACGACGCACAATTGGGGGGGGGGGNACAACGGGACAACGGACGATGACGAGGCGACGTGAGGGTCCACGGGCCAGGGCGGCCGCGGGCGTGAGAGAAAGTCCCCAGATCCAGAGTCGGCCCTTGCGCTTTGTATTCACATGCTAATCACCCAGGAAAATCCTCTTGCGCTAAGATGAAACGCCCTATGTCCATTCAAGCGTTGCCAATTTCTCCCGTTACGATGGTTCTTTCAAAAGAAAGTTATCAAAATATTTTTCCTCGAGGTTTTTAGACGAATTCGACTGTACTGAGAATGGTATTCTGTGAGGATTTTGCAGTAAAGTATACTTAAATTCTCGAGTGAATTCGGTTTTTTTCGGTGGAGATTTGGCGCCGCTCGGATGTTCTTACGTCGTTTTCCCTCAGCATTCGAAGATTGGTACGCTGTCGTCGCAAAGCGGAAACTGATTTCGGTGACGAACGCAATACGTGATGACTCGGCGGCGTATATGTTCGGATGGCCCGGTTCTAAGATTGGTGTGCCATACAACGAAACCACGTATCTCGGCTTGCGATGTTGCAGATCTGCTAGTCTTACTTCTTAAAGAATAACTGATTCCATTCAACACTAATAAAATGGTATAGCAACATTTACTTCATTTTAAATTTTAAGATATATAATAATTATACCTTTCTAGGATTTATTCCCAAAGTTACACCGTTGAATTTTACTCGCAATGTATTGATATTGTCCTTTTCGTGATGATATGCAAAGGATCTCGGAAACACCCCAAATGACAATGTAAACCATTCGGAGTTTCCCGAGGGAAGTAACGATTATGAGTACGGCCAGTGTTCGAAACTCACGGGCGACAACGCGCCATATGCGCTTAAGAAATCTGTCATCGCACCTAAAAAATGAAGGTCCTGCGCCAACGTGGGCCCTAGAGCTTGCCCTCTCCCCTTAAAAAAATATCCTAATTTTTCTGTAGGGTGATTTGTCGAACTTTCAACGCAAGGCACCGGATTCCATCTTTCCACTGAATGCGCCGTGATATATAGGCAAAAAGTAAATTTGACTCCTGAAAAATCTTCAATGATCCCTAAAAATCGAGCTTAATAAGCCACATGACTCTTGAAACTCAAAGGTGGGTCTCGAATACTGAGTACGGCCCTTTGCATGGTAGTATTTGAGCGGATGTTTGGTCATATTGACCGAACTTTTTTCTCCCTCGGCATCTACAGTCTAGCCCGGGCGGTGACTTTGGATTTTTCTTCTGTATATTTACTTTTCCAATTAGGCACTGGCCCGGGGCCCGCGGACTCGACACCAGAACAAACGTTACGTCACGGGCGGGTGGCGGGTGCGTGAGACTGGCGCACGTCGGAAGAAGTGGGGCAAGGCGAGGCAAGGACATCGGACAACGGTTTTCCTTTTTTCTGGTAGCCGCTGCTCAACCCACTGGAACATCGTCTTCCTCACGCCCTTCTTCCGTCCATCACCGATCATCAATCATCCGTCTCAGATGCCTTTCACTTTCATCCCGAGCGCACGCGCATCCTCCGCCCCGAGGATGACGTCATAGTTGCCGAATTTCCCGCGGATTTTTCCGACCGGCGAAAAAAAATGGAGAGCAAATTACGAGGCTATCCGAAGAGGTTAGTTTTTAAATTGGAATCCGTGCTTCTTTTGCAATCAGTAACAGGGTGTCTACCAGTTATGAAAAAAACAAAATTGGGGACTTTCGGGGACTTCTAGGGGAGCTTTTTCAAGAAAATCGGGGACTATTTTTCCCGGAATAATAAGAGAAAGGGAGCAAGTTAGAACGTTAAAAGGCGTATTTTATACCACTAATTTTACAAGTCATGTTGAACCGATGAAAACATACGAAAAACCAAGTAACACATCAATTTTTTTATTCTTGGTTATACCGCGCCGCCGCGGCTGGCGGGAAAATTTGAAAATGCCGGTGTTTAGGACGATTTTTGTCATTTTTCGTGGACCTGAACAAGAACATTGGGGACTTTCGGGGATATCGGGGACACCCCTTCCCAAATCGGGGATAATCGGACAAAATTTGGAAACTTTATACGCTTATAACTCCGTCTATATAAATATTTGAGGTTTTAAAAGTGGGTCTATTGGTTTCTTCGTGAAATGTTCTACTTACAGCACCCTTTAAAATCTAAAATGTGACGAAATAAACATCAAAATTTGCAATTATAGTAGAAAATTTCATGTCCAACTTCTCTGACTTACTCGATTCTCTGTGGGCCGTAGAGCTCAGCCCCGATACCGCCTGTAGTTGGAGCTATTTTACCTAAAGTGATAGGGCTCAGCACTAAGTTTTTTTTCATGGAACGACCTCGAGATGAAGATGAAAGTTCTCGAAAAAGAGTCGTGATCCTCACCATAACCGTACCTAACTCAGGTTGCAAAATCAATTTACAAGCAGTTAAAGAGGAAGTTTTTATAAACCTGGAGTAAAATTAAAGGCGAGGAGGCGAGATGTGTGTAAAATTGAACAGACTCAACAAAATTTCGACGATCAAATTTGCAAATAACAATACTGTGGTCGGTGCAATTTTATAAATTAAGTTCATATTCATGGTTAGCCATGAAAATCATTAAAAATGTTATGATGGGCTAATTTTCTTTCAAAATGTGAAACATTTTTCCGCCAGCTCGGTAATAAGTTGTCGCTGTAAAGAATCACTGCAGCACGAGCATTCTGGCTGGCACACTCGCATCGAATTGGAAGGAAAAACCGCGCGCTCTCAGTGGAGTGCTAAAAAATAAAATATCTTCTAACGCGTTACTGAGGAAGGAACGGGTGGACTTTTTGACGATGCACTGCGACTCACTCAATGTGTGCGTGCCATTGTTGCATATGCGTCGAAATGAAGGCGA